TAAATACTGATAGAATTCTAAATCGATCTCCGTAGAATATAATGTCATTAATAAAACATCTTTCGTTTGTAAAAATCACTTCATTTAAAAATCAACTATAATCACTCGAAAGAGTACTCTACTATCGATCATTTATCGTATATTATACTTCTGATTTTTCTGAATCAAATATCTGATGACGAAAAGTTTAGAATGTTGGAAATGGCCCTGGTGATAATAGATCACAAGCAAGTGCTTCTGACTGGTACAAGTTATTCAAAGAGGGGCGAGAACGCGTTGACGATGAAGCACGTCTACTGCCTTAATGTGGGCTCTGACATCGTTGCAGTATCGGAAGGATCAGTAAAACCATTGTGAAAAATTATGAGGGTGTAAAAAAATTAAAAAACGATTGGTTCCATAATTTTTTTTTTTTTTTTTTTTTTTTTTTTTTTTTTTTTTTTTTTTTTTTTTTTTTTTTTTTTTTTTTTTTTTTTTTTTTTTGTAAAACCGCATCTATGCTTACGACCCGGAAACAGACGATTATTCAGCCATATAGCGTGGATAAGGTGAGTCGAAGCTGAAAAAATCCACGTCAAAGGTGGTCAAAAATCAAGGTTATGATGACAGTTTTCTTCAATTATCGAAGTGTTTTGTACTTCATATTGCTTCGGACCAGTCAAACTGTCAACAAGGAATACTATTTGTGTGTTATGCGTTGTTTGCGCCAAGCTATTCGTACAAAGAGAACGGAATTATGGGTCGACAACTCTGGGGTTTTTGCATCACAATAATGCACCAGCACATGACGCATTGATTCTTCTTGAGTTTTTCGCCAAAATTTCAACCAATAACGTGTCACAGCAGTATTTGCCTGAATTAACTCCGTGTGACTTCTGGCTATCCTGCAAACTCAAATAGCGGAAACCGTTTTGAGTGAATTCAAGACATTAAACGTGAATCGCTACGCGCATTGAAGGTTACTTTAACAACTGAGAATACGAAGAAACTTTGGCACAAGTATGTTGGGTCCAAGGAGGATTACTTTGAGGGAGACGACATAGATTTTAAAGAATAAATTAAGAAATTTAAAACTAAGACATGACAAGACAAAGTCTTGCTATTTTTTGCTCATAATAGTACGATTTGACCACCTTTTTTCTACCGGCTTTCGTTAATAAATTTCTACTCTTTTATGAAAATGGCTTTTATTAAAAGCTATAAGAATATTTTGTAAATTGATTTAAGTATAGAATATATAATATTTAAAGAATTCCTTTGAAAAACATCGAAGTAATTACAAACCAGCTATTGCACGTTACAGTCGGACTCAACATTTTGCGCACATTTTGTTGTTTAATATCCAAATACGATAAAAATAAGTAAATGCATTGTTTTCAAAATTTCATAATTATAGTAAGTAATCCAATGTGAGAATGCCCTCGAAAATAAATCAATTATTTTTAAAGTAGACGGCTTTAGTTAAACTACGATGAGGTTACGCTATATAGCATTATAAAGGTAAAATTTCATAATTAAAATCATTGACTTGTTTGAGCACGCCTTAAAGATGGATAGCAAAACAGAGAAAGTACACCGTGTTTTACAGCATTTTTTCGATAAAATCAAAAAGGAGAACGTCTAACAAAAACGGCTTACTTCATAAGTTACTTCATAAGTTGCCTTTTATATTTCGGGATTTGGCAACCCTAGTTTTGCAATCTGAAAACTCACAATTTTATCGTAAAGTTTGATATTTTTGATGTTATACACACTAGAACGTTTTGATATGTTTTCATATGCGAGCGCTATTTGTGTTGTTTACAGTACCTTCAAATATTCATCTCAACCGAAAAATGGAATTAAATCGCGAACATTTCCGGTTATTAAATATTTTACAATTTTCAACTTGGATTAACTCAGCAACAGTGCGTCGATGAAATGAATTATTTTGTTGGCAATGAAGCTCCATCAAGGACCAGTGTTTATTAATGATATGGTGATCGCCATGTGACCACACTGGCCAGGACTACACTGGCGATACATATCGATAGTGACTCGCCAGATGCTCCATCAGGTTGGCTGATTTGTAAACATAATATAATGGAACAAACCACGTCCAGCACGCAGTGATGAAAATATAACAGCCGTAACTGAGAGTGTACATGAGGACCATGGAGAGTCGATTCGGCGCCGTTCACAACAACCCGGACAGACGTATGGAAGAGATTGGCATATTTTACGTCGAGATCTTAAATTGAAAGCGCAGAAAATACTGCTTTTGCAAGAACTGAAGCCGCTCGACCTTCCCAAGCGATATTCCTTCGCTACATAGGCACTTGTTTCCAAGAAAATCCGACGTTTTCGAGCTAAATTTTGCTCAACAGCCCATTTCTACCTCAATGGGTACGTTGACAAGCAAAATTGTAGCATTTGTTACGAAGAGCAACCTGAATATCTTCAGAGCTGCCATTTCATCCAGAAAAATCAAGGGTTTAGTGTGATTTGAGGCCCGGTGGTATCGTCGGTTCATAGTTCTTCGAAAATGATGGCGGTGAGAACGTAACCGTTAATGGCGACCCATGGCTGAAATTGAAGCTCATGGTCTCGGAGTTATTTGGTTTCCAAACAACGGCGCCACTTTCAATAAATCACATCAGTCAATGGATTTATTAAGAGAACATTTCGGTGAGCAGCTAATATCACGTTTTGAGTCGGTGTATTAGCCAACAACTTCCACTTTTTCTTTAAAAAGTAGGGAACTTCGAAATGTATCACCCTTTTTTAACATTTTGATATTTTTTCTCTGGATTTTATTTATACAAAATAAAAACTACTGTTAAACTTGCAGAAGCAAAATAATTCACAAAATCCCTTACAAACAGCCGCAATAGTAATTCGAAGTAATTTTAATTGTTTTCACACAAATATTTTGTGAAATCACTAACATTTCCCCAAGGACGTTATAATAAATGTACGCCCAAGAGTGAAACTTCTGCGAAATTAATCCGCAATAATTTGCAATTTAAGCTTCACATCTCTGGCAAATTAAATTGGTAACTTTACTGTTTAGTGCAGAATGACATTCCGTTATTTGCTCAGCAATTTCTCTGCAACTATTAACTGTCTTTATTTCAGATTTAAACGCTGTTGAGATGACTGCCCGAGGGTGCTTGCACCCTTAGGGGTCATTACTTGTGCAAATGAGCTAAGATATTCGGTCCATGTTGATTTGACTGTCAAAAGAAAACAACAGCGACTACACCATTTTAATCCACAAGCTGCCGTACAACCACGAACGCAACACACGCTCCCTCAGTGACTCAAGCTTTTCCCACGAATATTTGAAATGAACTTTCTATTAAGTACATATGTATGTATGCTTGCGCATAAAATGTTCATAGTAGTGTTAGTGTAAGCGCGTGTGTGAATGTGTGTGTTGAACACTGCACTAAATACGCTGAACTTGCTGCACTTTAAATCGTGCTCGATAAATGCAGCAGATAAGAAAGGTTAGCTGGTCCAGAACCAACATCACAACGCATCAAGTGAAGCATTTAAAATGTTAGTAAGGACTCACAAACACACAGATACACATGGGAGCTTCCAATCAGTTTATACACACTTAACCCCTCACAGATATACTTCTTTTATATACCCACTGATATATAAATATGTATGTACCTACATATGTATGTTTATGTATGGCAACCCCGCACCCCAAAAAATCCAGCGCACACTCGTGAATGTATAATAAAATGTACATGCGTGCTCGTTTGCATGTGTTAGTGCTTCGCACCATAACACGACAAGTCGTTGAATTCATTGAGAAAAATAAAGTCTTGAATTGGTGGCATAGCAGAGAAGCTGAAGCAGCAGCAGCGCCACCTCCAACCCAGTCGGAGCATTTAATTCAGCATAATGCTTTCGTTTGTTTGTGTAGGTGCTTGTACGTGATGTGCTCACACAAGTACAGTAAAACATATAAAAGACGCTCTCAAGTGAATGAAGCTCGATTAAATTTTAGCGTGATTTGCAAAGTGGAAACTTGAAAAAGTTGTATTATTTTCCTAATAAATTCAGTTTCAAATTTAGAAGGAAAATATTTCGTCTTGAGACTAACTTCGAAATATCCGTTACTTTTTTTAATTATGACTCAATACTCGAAAAAGCTTTACATCTAATATCTTCTTACCTTTTCTTATTCTATTCAAAGGTTCTAAAACTCAGCAGAGATAAATAAGAACATATTTTGTTGGCTTTTACGAAAGCTCATATGCTCCAAAACTAAGCTTTATACTTAAAATAAAGCTTTACCCCTATTATTTTCTTATCGTATCTTATTTTATTAGTAGATTCGAAAACTAAACATAGATTAAGACGATATTCCTTAATTTTAAAATCATAACTTGTAAGCTTTTATAAAAGATCCTTAGATCCAGCTCCAAAAAGGTTAATGTAAGCTTAAACTTTAACGAGTTTTCCGAAAATACACGACCATAGATAATTTTATAAAGATATAACTTTTTGCAAAATCCTGACTTTTAAACTTTGACGAAAGCGCCTTAGGTCCAACATAAAACTTCTGAACAAATTTATATTCGTAGTTTTGAAAGATTAGCATAGATATTTTTAAAAATATATTCCTTACTTTTAGAAACATAATTTGTAAACTTCTATGAAAGCTCCTAAGACCCAACATAGACCTCCTAACCAAAATTATATTTGTAGTTCGGAAAACTGAGCGTGGATAATTTTATAAAAAATATTGTTTTTTTCTTTTTTTTGTTAAATCATAACTTTTATGCCTTCATGAAAGCTCTTTAAGTTCAACAAAAAGCTTAAGAATACAAATTAATTCTTATCAGCTTTTGATTTAATACTAGTTCACTTTATTGATAACGCACTGCACAAATGTGCTGGTATATCCGTGCATCCCCCACGCCACGCCACCTCCTAGCCCAACCCAAAGCACTTTAGCCAAGGTCTCCTACACCAAAAACACTTTCACTTGTACTCACCCGTTGGTTGTTGTGTATTCACTGTTGAGTTTCGTGGCTTCACTTTCGAACACATGGAGAACATCTTTGGCAGCTTTAATGTCTACTTTCAGGCGTTTCGTTTATTGTTTGCTAGTCGCTCGTTTCTCGAAATCGAATGGAATTTTATCGACGCTCACTTAAAAGTTTCCTCAGCTTAGAAAATGTTGCATTTTATTTAATGCCAATAATTTGTTTTTACGTAAAATTCTTTAAAAAATAATTGTCGCTTTTCACTAATTTAGTTTTTTATTTTTGTTTTTATTTATGTATATGTGTATAATATTTTTGTGGTTGCAATTTATGTAAAAATTATAGTTGCTTTGTGCGCAAATGATGTCACGCTTAGAGTAAATCAGCGACGATAATGACGCTGCTGTCCGCTCGCGTGTGCTGCTGCCTTTTATATGAATTACGAAAAAAATGGTTTTCTTAGCTGACTTCTCTGCGAACAACACTTTTGTTGGCAACTTCGTTTGCGGAAGCACAACTACAAAGCTGCTGTGAAGGCTGTTAATGAAGACTGATAATGAATTGCTCGTTTATCACTGAAATGTCACTCAAAGAATGTGGCGCAGTGAACGCAATAACACGAAAATAATGGAAACGCTTTAAGCGAAAACGCGCTTAATTATTAAATGGTACGTCAAGTGCGCACCTCCTCTTCTTTTATTTTCACTTTTTATATTACTCGTTGCCTTTAAGCTCACATTGGTGATTGCACTGAAGACAATCACCTGATAGTGTAGCGCAAATGTTTGCTTTGGTCCCGTATTCTTTAACCCACTGTGCACCTTTGTTGCGTGTTGTTGGCTACGCGCTGCTGCTCGCTGGTCGTTCGCTCTTATCAGTAGTCAAAATGGTAGTGGTCGACGCCAGCCTCGTCTTCTGCTGGTCAAGGTGCTGGCTACTACCACTGATAGCTCGTTGGCGCTGTTGTCTGCCGTTTTAGTGTGCTTGCTTTATAGCTAGCTCTTTGTTACTGGCACTAACTGCCACGGCCAATGCTGCTACTGGATTCTACCACTGCGTCGGATACCTCTACTGCTTCTGGCTGCTGCTGCTGCCGCTGCTTCCTTTTTTGCTATTTTTCGGGGTTGCCTTGTGTTCTTGTCACTGCGGCTGCCTTGCACTGAGTGTGGCAAGCACGGTGACGCCTTTTCTGCAAACTGTGTTCGTACGCTCGTTCGTCCGTCTGGCTTGTTGTTGCTCGTCGTTGCTGCTACTGCTGCCGCTCCAACCGCTGTTCGTCGTCAATTAAAGGCTTTACCTCAACGCCGTCGTCGTAAACAGTAACGCTTCGTAACGTTTATTACAGCGATTGCAATGTGAACTCAGAATTGAATTGAAACGCTGTGGATGGCTGAAGCAGTTCTACCGTCTGTGTTGGCAGAATAGTTGGTAGTTGGAATGTGACCATCACCAACAGACAATAACGTTCTGCTGCGGCGAAAGTGTTTAGTGGTCCTTTACTGGAACGGGTAGCACACAGTTTGGCCCAATAGACGTCTTAGTGGCTGGTCGGTACGGTGGCTAGTCGCAGAGGTGATGAAGTGTAAATTTGTAGAAAACTTTTTAATTTGAAATTCTCGGCTCCCATCCGTTTTTCTGCCACTTTTTTTTTAGCCTCTCACTTTTTTGTTTGTTTTTTGTGCGTTTTTTATGATTTTTGCTGTTAGTTGTTATTGCCACTCTTATTATCGTTTATGGTTGTCGTTCTTCTCCGACAAACGAAGTTAGCGCAAGTGTGTTATTAGAAATTTTCCGCTCGCATAAAACACACACAGGCACACACACAACTTTGGGCACTCGCGCGCGATCTACAGCGAAGCGATTTCCTTCACGGCAGAGGTGAAAGGCAAAAAAGCGAAAATCAACGTCAATAACGACAACAAGACTAGACATTCAGTGAGACAGGCAGGCGGCCAGACAGACAGACAAACAGACGCGCTTTTCAAATTTCTTCGTATCGGTCGCAACGTTAGACGCACCTCTGTATACACTTACTGTCGAAACTCAACTGACAGTAGCAGCAGTAAGTCAGTGCCAGCAGCCAGTTATTCAAGCAGGCGACGAAGTAAACCATTGTGCACTCTCGTCCTGGTGCTGACAGAGCCAAACCGAAGGCACGAGCAGCGCCGAACGCTGTGTCAACTCGACGACAGACAGCATCGTCTGTTAACAGCTTGTAGGTGTAGGCGTCCGTACAATCAACCAACCACCCTACGGCCCAACCGCCCACCTCTTAATGTTTGACCTCTTGCGTTTGTCGCACACTCTTCTAGCCTTTAACTGCCTGCTGCCTTGAAAGCCTGTGGCTAGATCCATACCTATACATATGTATGTATGTAGGTACTTATAATATATGCATATATATATATATATATATATATATATGTATGTACGGTTTATGAGTCAAACCGCTGTCACATCGCTTCGAAACTTTAGCTATGGAAGCCCCATCACGCTCGTGTTAATCAAAACCCGCAACCACAAACAATTATTTTGGGCATGACGCCCGCACCAGCCAACAGTTCAGCAGTCGGAGCCAGTACCACTGCACACACACCCATGTATGTACATACCGTTATTTCATTAGTTTGTTGTACTGTTATTGTTGTTGGTTTTTGTTTTTGAACAATAAAAGTATATAACCGCGGTTTTCCTGTCAACTACAATGTCCGTTTATCTGTTTATCCCTTTTATCTGCTGGGAAATTCGTCAGTCAGTGCATATCCACTGAATTAGACAAGAAAAACACAACAACAAGATTTACGTACATACATAGTATGTATAAGTGTGTAGGTATGCTTGCATAACGTCGGAGGACATAGACACTTTGGTCGCCTCTCAGCCGCCTGACTGCCCATTCATCCATCCGTTCCATCCGTATGTCAACACCGCCACCACCAGCCCCTACTCGTGCGCGCAAGCCAAGCTTTCCGTACATTTTCATAACGGCCGATGATGTGCTCGTCCTTCAATGTCCTCTCTGCTACGGCGGCAACGACCCGAAAACATCTGATGACAGCCACAACTCCTTGCCCTTACCCCGCCCAGCAGCTGTGGCAGCATGTTATCAGCACTGCTGAAGCTTTGCCGCAATTAAAGTATTTTTTGTTGTTGTTGTCACTTAAAATTTTTTCACTGTAAGACGGACGTGTTTTCTACATGCCTTTCGTGACGAGGATGTCCCTTCGTTGTTTAACAGCCGCACAACCTTTCCGCCCGCCACAACTCTATATAATTGCTCATATACTTGCATATTTGTATGTGTTTGTATGCACGCATACTTGCACAAGCATAGCGAAAAGCGCGCGCCTGTAGCATCGTACATTGTCCTGAGACACAACAAAACAGTTGGAACGCGCGAAAAGACCCGAAAGTGAATGAAATGGAACGGCATGAATGAGAACAGAGCAAAATAAAAGCTTCGTAATCGTCGGAGCTTTTCCGTTCACACACACATAATAAAAGTGTTAATGTGGCGCATTCACCTAAGGCGTTATTCTGGCCAAGTTTCTGGTGCAATATCGCAGCAAACTTGTTTGTACTTTCATAGAAAGCCGAATTGCCAACGCTTTTAGCAAAGTATATATGAAATTAGGTCATAGTTGAGTACCGAACACACATCCTGCATGCTGATAGTCACACACTTTAAGCTTTTTAACTTCAGCGGTCACTTTCATATACCGTTATGTGCTGGTAAAAATTTGTTTATATAGAAATGTGAGCGTGTAATTGATAGTCCAAGGTGATTTCGCGCTCAGGCGCACACATACTTACTTTTATCTAGTACATATGTTTATATATATGTGTGTGTTCGCATGGTTGTGTAAATAGGTTATATACGCCCAGATGCTTGCAGACTTCTTGTCATTTTAATTGTTGTTATTGTTATTTACTGCCTTTATTTGCAAGTGTTATTGTTGTTTCGGATGTTATTTGTCTTTGCGCTTGTTTCTCCATTATTTCTTTGCTTTACTTTTATTTTGTGTTATGTTTCGTATTTGTTTGTTGTTATTTTTTATATTTTTCTATGTGTTTTTGTTCCTCCTTTGCAATGATTGTTATTGTTCCCTACCGACTTTGCTGTTTGCAACATTCACACACACCCACATGCTTTCACATTATTATATACTATGTATTGTAGTTATGAACAGTTGAATGTAATAAAAGGGGTTTCCTCAAACGAGCTGCTTGGCTAGCATAATCATCCTGCTTTCGCAATGGCCTACACTGTGAAAAAAATATTTAGAATTGGATCGCTTTGAACCGAACTGTAACAAAATATTTGATCAACCCTCAACCTCAACACTATGATGCACCTACTGGTTTATCAGTTATATATTCTTACGTCTCATAAATTTCTCAACTTAAGGGTATTCGTAGTAGTTTCTGTTGTAAGGTCCTTGCTCTGTCCGGATCCTACTCGCTTTTCCAATTGTAAAAGCCTTGGTTTGTTTCAAAAGGCTTATAACATTATCTATGAATGAAATGGGTATCTTGCATTAAAGAATAGGTCGACAAAAACCAAAGAAGAAAAAGAGCAGATCAAAGCATATTTGTATAATTTCATATCGCATCGCAACGACCTGTTAGTATATTATATCCTATGAAACTTACTCATCTAACACGTATTTCCCTATAGACTTTGTTGACAATTAACTTACGTCTTAACACCCAAACAAGACCTGTACACCCAATGCAACAACACGAGTTTACGGATCTTCTTCAAATATTTATCTCACGTAGCATCCAATTTCCTCTCACATGGCGGATAGACTTATCTACTATCTGCAGCAACGAAAAGTTATCGTTTGAGTCTCGACAAAGTGTAAAAATTATTTTAACGAATGCGAACTGTATGAAGAATATGCTGAATTGCATTGAAATGACATAACTCTTTTCGAAATGTGCTTTGCTTTAAGTTAGCTCTCAATTTAATAATAATATCTCGGCTAGATAGACAAAATTATTTGTTCTTTTCAGTTTGTGGCAGTAAATATTCGTAGACCGACAATAGTGAAATTACTGTGGTATTACGAATTAGAGCTTACTGAATCAAAGCTGGCGTGTTAGTGGGCACAGAAATATTTTTATTGTGTTTCTTTTCCTCGATGAATTATTGCTACAAATCTGTCATCTGATTATTTTACCGGGGCTAACGGAAAAATATATTTATTTACATATTTACAAAAAGTGATAGAATGTTGGAGGATT